ACAAGGGGATGGATCAAAGTAAAGATACAAGTTCTAAAGGGTCAACAATGTGGGGTTGGAGTTAAGTCAATATGCAGCTTTTACTAAACCAAGATGCAAGTTCAAAAAGGTTAACAACATGGGGTTGGTGCTTAATCATAATACGGGTTCTCCAAAGTCAGCAACGTGGGGTTAGAGCTAAGTCAAAATACAGATTCTAAAGGGTCAATAATGTGGGGTTGGAGCTTAGTCAAGATACGAATTTTAAAAAGCTGATAACGTGGGGTTGGAGCTAAGCCAAAATTTCAATGTATGGATTCTAAAGGGTCGATAATGTGGGGTTGGAGCCAAGTCAAAATATATGGGTTCTAAAGGGTCAACAGCGTGGGGTTGGAGCTAAGTCAAAATACAGGTTCTAATGGGTCAATAATGTGGGGTTGGAACTTAGTCAATACATGGGTTCTAAAGGGTCAACAACGTGGGGTTGGTGCTAAGTCAAGATACGACTTTTAAAGGGCTAATAACATGGGGTTGGAACTAAGTCAAAATATATGGGTTCTAACGGATCAATAACGTGGAATTGGAGCTAAGTCAATACATGGGTTCTAAAGGGTCAATAATGTGGGGTTGGAACTAAGTCAAGATACAAGTTCTACAGGGTCAATAATGTGAGGTTGGAGCTTAGTTAGTAGTATAGGGTTTTTACGGCGCTCGCAACTGCGCAAGGTCATATGAGCGCGCGAAACACAAGTTGGTCTTGTTCACAACAGTTCGCTGTACGGCTGGCTCGGGCCAGTAGTTAAATCTTGAAATGTTTAAAAATCAGTGTAAATATACAAATATTTTAAATCTAAAACAATTTTTCTAGTTAACATAACAAATTTTAAATAGTACAGTTTTACTTTACAATTTGCCATAAAGGCCAATGGCCTTCATAAAATTCAAAATTTTGCTGGGACCAACGACGGAAAAAATATCTTGCAATTTCTTGCATTTATAATATTTCCTTCGGGTCTCTCCAAAGTCTAGACATTCGGTTAAGATGTGTCTAATGGTAAAATCTGTGTCGCACCCGACACAGAACGGCTTCTCATCTCCTTGTAGGAGGTATTTGTGGGTCAGGGCCGTGTGTCCGATGCGCAATCGAGTAAAAATGACTTCGTCTCTTCTGGAGAGGTCCGAAGGATTTCGCTGTTCTAGTTTGGGTTTTATTTCATATAGTTTATTATTTTTCTGCTTTTCCCAGTGGCTCTCCCACAGACTGGAGGTGTACTTTTTTACTTTATTTCTAAAGTAAGTCTGTGGAAGAGTGTTTGTCGTTGATCCCAGCAGAAGGGATGAAGCTTTCTTCGCCAGGTCGTCTACCTGCTCGTTTCCTCTGATGCCCACATGGCTAGGTATCCATGCGAACATGATGTTTTTTCCTGTTTCGGATAGTGTATGAATTTTCTGTTGTAGCCTAACTATTTTTTTATGTAAGAGTGTGTAGTTTGTGAGTGAGGTGATGCAAGACAGAGAGTCAGAAAGGATAAGGAAAGATTTGTTAGGAGAGTTTTCTACGGAGTCCAGTGCCATGTCAATGGCAGTGGCCTCCGCAGAGAAAATGGAGGCTTCAGGATGGAGTCTCCTCTGGTGTGTACTGTTGGAAGATAGGGCTGCGGCGCCCACTTCATTGTCTTTTTTGGAGCCGTCCGTGAAGATGAGCTCCGCACCAGGGTATTTATCTATTAGTTTTTTGTATTCTGCTTTAAAAGTTTTGGTGTTTGTGCTTTCTTTGTTGTGTGTGGTCAGCTGTAAATCTACTTTCGCCTTGGTGAGGTGCCACGGAGGGAGGACGGGGAAAAGAATTTGTTGGATGTCTTGTTTGGAAAAGTGTAATTTTTTGGGGTCCTCGAGGATTCTGGGGCCAAATGATTTGATAAGTTTTTCGTTGTTTTGGAATTTGATTATGGTTTCTGGGTTTGTTTTTAAAATGCTGTTGTACGCTGGATTTTCCGGTGTTGAGCTCAGTTTAACTGCGTATTGTAGTGAGAGTTGTGTGCGTCTGAGTGAGAGTGGTGGTATGTTGGCCTCGGACTGGAGGCTCTCCACCGGAGAAGTGCGGAAAGCCCCCAGAGCGAGGCGGAGTCCTTGGTTTTGTATTGGATCTAGTATTTTTAAGATGTGTGGTTTTGCCGATCCGTAGACTTGACAGCCGTAGTCAAGCCTGGACCGGACAAGGGAGATATACAAGTGTAGAAGGTGTTTTGAGTCCCCGCCCCATTCCGGATTCGATAGAATTTTCAAAGCGTTTAACGCTTTCTGGCACCTCACACGAAGGTCTTTGATGTGTGGTATGAATTTGAGTTTTTTGTCGAAAATGACGCCGAGGAAACGAGCTTGGTCCTGGACGGGAACTCTTTCCCCGTATAGTGTCAAATCCGGCTGCAGCACACTTCTGCCTGTTCGGCAGAAGTGTACTGCAACCGTCTTTGACGGGGAGAACTTGAAACCATTATTGTTTGCCCACGTTTCGAGTTTGTGCAGCTGCGTTTGCAGCTGCCTTTCCATAGATCTCAAATGAGGATTTTTCGAACGGCAGCATATCAAAAAGTCGTCAACGTATAACGAGCTGTCTATGTTGTTTTGGAGGGTTTTCACTATGGAATTTATTTTAATTTCAAATAGGAGAGGAGAAAGGATGCTCCCCTGGGGGACTCCTTCTTCCTGTTGGTGGGGGTCTGAAAGGGAGGATCCGACACGAACCTGGAAGGAACAGTTCTTCAGGAAGTAGCCAATAAAGGCAGGGAGGTGACCGCGTACGCCGAGTGCATGCAGGTCTCGAAGAATGCCGTACTTCCAGGTTGTGTCGAAGGCTTTTTCTAAGTAAAAAAAGATGGCGATCATGTGGCCTCTTTCAGCGAACGTCTCACGTATAAAGATCTCTAGGCGGACCAGGTGATCCAGAGTGGATCAAGTTTTCCTGAATCCGCACTGGAGACCGCTCAGCGAGCCCGTCCTTTCCAGAAACCACATGAGTCGCCTGTGAATCATTTTTTCAATCAGTTTGCAGAGACAGCTCGTTAGTGCTATTGGTCTGTAATTGGATGGGTGTGTGTGGTCCTTGTTTGGTTTAGGTATTGGAATGACAGTGGCGAGACGCCAAGACTCCGGAAAGGAGTGCGACCGCCACATGTCGTTGTATATGTATAGTAGGAGTGTGAGTGTTTCTGAGGGTAAGTATCTGATGATCTGGTTGTGGATGTCATCCGGTCCTGGGGCTGTATCGCCCAGGTCCGAGATGCACGATGTTAGTTCGTCTATTGTGAAGTCTGTGTTGTAGGTTTCAGTGTTGTTTGAGTGGAAGTTTAGGTGTTGTTTTTCTCTGTTAGTTTTGATGTTTTGAAAAGTGGTGTTGTAGTTTGCTTGGGATGAGTTTTTGGCGAGAGATGTAGCTATTGTGTTTTCGATGTCTACTTGTGTTTCAGCTGTGGTTCCATCCGGCCTCTGGACGTGCCGAATGGTGTCTGTGCGTCTACCTAAGAATTTTTTTAGCAATTTTGAAAACTTGGCTCAGTGGTGTCTGGCTGTTGATTTTGGAGATGTATTTTTGGAATGACTGTCTTTTGCTCTCCCTGAGGCATCTACGTGCCACAGCTCGAGCCTTTAAATAATTGATCTTGTTTTCTATGGTGGTGTTGTTGACGGCTTTTCGATACGCTGCCTTCTTTTTCTTTACTGCGTCCTCACATTCCCAAGAGAACCAGACCTTGTTCCTCCGGGGTTTTGTTTTTTGTTTTTGGTATGTGTTTGTGGCATATTTCTAAAAGCTTTTCGTGGAATTTATTGTAGTTGTGGTCGAAATTGTGATTAAGAATCTGGGAACATTGATTGACAAACCCGTCCCAGTCTGCTTTTTTGAAGTTGAAGCGTTCTGGGATCGGGTCGTTTTGGAGGCTATTGTTTTTTAGGAGAATTGGGAAATGTTCCGTACGGTCATCCAGCACAGACCACTCAAGATCTGGGACTAGGTCAGGGGTACAAAAGGTGAGGTCAAGGGATGAAGTGCCATAAGTGGCTCTGTTTCTGTAAGTTGGGAATTTATCCTTTAAGAGACAGATGTTATTTTGAAATAAAAAGTTTTCTATTATTTTTCCTTTCTGGTCTATAGGTTTGTCTCCCCAAAGAGGGTTGTGGGCATTGAAATCACCTAGCAAAATAAAGGGTTTTGGGAGCTGAGCCTTTAAGTCATTTAGTTGGGTTATTTTGAGGGGGTAATTTGGTGGGATATAAACTGAGCAGATCGTGATTGGTCTGTGCAGGGTGACCCGTACGGCAATAGCCTGGAGGGTCGTCTTAAGATGTACTTGTCTGTGGAGTGTGTGGTTGTCGGTGTAGATGGTGGTACCACCGGAAGCAATCTGGTTCTACGTGTGAATGTGATGGTACGCAGTAAATCCTCTTAAGTCTATGGTTGAAGCCGGGGTGAATTTTGTTTCTTGAATACAGGCCACCCGTTGGCACAGTGTGGCCTGTAAATGTTGCAATTCTGCAATGGAAGGTCGGATTCCGCCGGCATTCCATTGCAGGACCGCCATTATGACTTTTTAGTTTTTATTTTGGAGCTTGGAGGGGGAGGCAGAGTGTTTTCTAGGTTGCCGTCCTGGATTGGACGGCGGTCTAGTGAGGGATTTGGAGGAGTGACAGACTCCTCCCTTCCCGGGGTCAGGCCGAGAGGGGGTTCGGAGATGTCATCCTCCGTTGGTAGTGGGGGGGAGTGGAGGGGTAGGGGGAGGTGGAGCAGACAGAGGGGGCTGGGGAGAGGGGAGAGGGAGTACCTCAATCTCCATCAGAGAGATGGGTTGTGAGGTGGAAGTAGAAGAAGAAGAAGAAGAAGAAGAAGAAGAAGAAGAAGAAGAAGAAGAAGAAGTAATAGAGGAGGGGTGAGGGAGAGAAGGGGGGCGGAGGAAGAGTCCACCCCATCCTCCCCAAGAACCCCAAAGCGGTTAGTTAGTGATACCTGGAAGGTGGGTACCACAGTTTTAGGTGGAACCTTTCTGTGTTTCGCAGTAAGTTTCTTGTTGACCATGGGTTCTGGGAGGGTCGACAGTGGAAGCACTGGTCGACTTCGTGACTGGCCAGAGTACGCTTGCATATGACTGGCCATGGACCGGGGTCATATCTGGCGGGCAGACAGCTTTTCGGGCTTCTTGAAAAGAGCAGCCATTTCGTGCTTTATACTCTTGGATTGCGCGTTCTTGGATCCAAGTCGGGCAATCCTTGCTGAAGGCTGTGTGCTGGCCTTGGCAATTTGGGCAGCAAGGATGCCCAGCCTTGCCGCAGCGATGACACACGGCTGCGCGTCGGCATCGCGACTGACTATGGCCAAACTTTTGACACTGAAAGCAGCGTAGAGGGTTCGGCACATAGGGTCGCACGTCCAAGACCAAGTATGATGCCCGAACGGTGGCTGGAGGGCGGCACGAATCAAAAGTTAGGATTACTGTGTTCGTTTCTAGTGTGGACTCCCCCCATCGAATAGTAATTCGGAGGGCTTCGACCACACCCTCACAGTTATCCACAATATCTTGGTTGGAGCAGCCCTTCAGCTCATGGCTGCGGACCACGCCCTTCGACTGGTTAAATTTCTGGTGTCGCTCGGAAACACAAGGAACACCACCGAAGGTCGTTATCTTTTCAAGTCCGGCCAGTTCTTTATCCGATGCGCACTTGATGAGGAGAGCACCAGAGGACAGTTTCTGGACATTCGTAGGAATGTATCCCAGAACCTGGCTTAGAGCATCTCCTAACTTGAATACGTTTAGATTAGTGATGTTTTTCTGTGCATCGGTGCTGCGGATGGTCAAGTACAGCTGCCGTGGAAGCTCCCTGAGAGGGGGGAGAGCAGAGGCAAAGGTAAAGGTCCTTTTTCCTTTAGTAGGTTGTTTGCTCGGCTCGGCGGCCGCACCCGCTTCCGCAAGTCGAGACTTTTTAGCAACGTTGGGAGTTGGGGGATGGTTTTTGATTGATGAGGAATCCATGTGAGTCTTTTCGGTGGTTCAACTCCGGGGCTCCCCGCCCGCCATCGAGCCCAACAAGGGGACACATTGCTCGGATGACCAGAGCTGTGCCAGGGCTACCCCGGAGCTAGATCTATACTCTCCACGAGAGTGCATAAAACCCTCCCGTCAAGATTGACCCAGGGCTTGATGTTGTTTCAACTCCCAACCGATTGAGTGGCATGGGCCGTGCCACCCTCCCGTCTAAGAGGAAAACCTGGGCCAAAGAGGTGTGTTGGTGAGGGACAGTGCGTAGACTGATCTCACCTCAACCGCCAGGTGCTCGGTTTCCCTCCGCACGGGTCGCACCTCACGGTCAACAAGGCGCCCACTCTGTGGGATGGGTGACCTCTCTTTTTGCTGCACATGAGGTCAGCGGTGGGTAGAAAGATAGAAGGAGAAAGAAAGAAGGAAGGAGAAGAGGAAGATACACCAAAGTAAGTGTCGCACACGGATCCCAGAGGGTTGGGGTCCATGTGCGACACTTCGCCTTTGAGGGGGTTGCACCTTCTGCAGACGAAGCAGTGGGTCTATTTATATTCCTCCGCCCCACTGGGGGTACAACCTTCTTTGACGGGGAGAACTTGAATATGTTTGTGTGTGTATGTGTGTGCTTGTATGTGTGTGTGTGTGACGAGGGGGTGGGGTTGGTTTATTACTTAAATAATATGTTACATAAATTCTTAACTATAGTCTAGTCAGTGAGCAGAATTGCAAGAAATATTATTTCAAAGACAATTACCTTCTCAGGCTGCCCATCATTCATCACTTCGTATTTGCGGTCTTCCAGTCTCATAGGAGGTCCTTCACAAGCTGCCCTGTCCTACTGGTGGTATCAGAACATCTACCCTTCTTCCTGAAAAGACTCAATCCACACCTGCCGCCCCACTCACCCTCCGCCCCTCCAAAAATAATTCCTACACTGCCCCCCCCCCAAAAAAAAACTCCTTCCCTCCATGGCCATGGCAATACTATCAACAAAATCCTACTCTGAACCTAACCTATCCATCTCGCTCCTTATCAACCTATCTTTACAAGGAAACAGCAGTGTAGGTAGGGGTCTTTTAAAGGGGGAAGGGGTGACAGATAATTGTGTAGAATTGGGTGGGAAGAGCTGCCTAATGATTTTGTGCTTGAGTGTTGGAAGTGAATTTTGCATACTAGCTTGTTCTTTGCAGCTTGTTGGTGCTGCACTGCCATTACTGTTTCAATGATGCTGTAAAATGTATACTCAAAAATGCATCAAACAAACTCTACCAGCTGTTTATTTGACCTTCTACCTTCTGTGGTAGACTTACTGATAACACCAGCACCTTCTTGTGGAAAGTCCGATGAGTGACCGTAATCTAAAAAGATAATTTCAAAGTTAAATCAGTTTGAATTACTAAATTTTGAGTTTAAGCACATTCATGTTGGAGCATCTAAATTATTTGATATGTGATTATTTAAATGCAGCACATTCTATTTACATGCGCTAAGTAGTAAAACATGCAGCATCTGACACAGAAAGTTTTGTTCTTCGAGGAAATGTATAAACCTTACATTAAGTCCACCTTTTAATCAATTAAAAATATTACGGTACCAGTATACCTATACTAGTGTGAAAAGAAAGACATGAAATTACAATTACAGGCTGAAAAAAAATTACAATCTTGAAATAACACTGAAGCAAACATCTTCAATTGTTTCGGTTTGAATTACATCAATTACAAGAAACATTATTTTTTCTTTTTTTTCAGGAGCCATTAGAAAGGTCAGGAGGAAATTTTTGAGAGAAACATTAACGCAAAAATGAAACTTTCAAGTTGACCTAGCATTGGGTGTTCTAATTGTTTTTTCAACGTCTAAATAGGCCAAGATAGCTTTCAAAGACAAATATACCTTCTAAGTCTGATCATCCTACTCTTGTTTCTCGAGACGGTGGATATGGACAATCTTCTGGTCTTGTAAGCGATCAACAGGTGCTGCGGGCAGTCCTGGTGATGAAAATGTGTCAAAGATTGATTGAATGATTGAGAAGGTGTTTACAGCACTGTCAATGTGTCAAAAAAAATCCAACATCTCGTGTTTTATTTAGTATCATAGTATAAAAACATTCTATATTCAACTGTCAATAAAGAAAATCCAGAATTTTGAAATTTCTTTTGACTAGTACTGATCAATAAGACAAATTAATGCTTATAAAAAGTGTTCACTTTAAGTTTGTTGATTTTTTTAGTGTGGTAGTTTTTTACACCCTCATCAACACAATTTAGATCACTTAGGTTGTAGATATCAGACATTTCACGGTGAAACCTGACTCATCGATGGGTATTCTAATTTTATAGTAATTATGAGTTGAATAATGTCCAAATAATAATGGAACTTAAGCCTCAGTGAATAGTGTTGCTAGACATACTTCCCGGAACTTCCCCCAATGTGTCCCTTGTGTGACTATGCATATGAGACTGTGGATCATCACCTGTTCCACTGTACAGTCCTAAATGACATCAGAGCTACCCTTCTCCCTCCGAGACCTAACATTGACAACACACTCTATGGAACATTACAGCAACTGCGGCAGACCTGCACTTATCACTACATGGCATTGGACAGAAGGGCGAGAGCCCAGCTGTTGCTGGATCGATAACAACAACAACAACAACAACTAGACATACTTCGATGACAAATACCTTCTAATGCTGATCATCATCCCTTCTCGTTTCTTGAAGTTCTTGATATAAACGGCCCATTTGTCCTGCCGTCGGTCTAATGGGCCTTCCAGAATCGTACTGATGAAACAAAAGAAAAAATGAACGTTTCTCACGCACCAAATAATATTTTAAAAGTTATTACATAAGTAATATGTTACATAAATTCTTAATAAGCCAGTGAGCAGAATTGCAAGAAATATTATTTCAAAGACAATTACCTTCTCAGGCTGCCCACTATTCATCACTTCGTATTTGCGGTCTTCCAGTCACATTGAAGGTCCATCGTACAGACTGTCCTGTCCTACTGGTGGTATCAGAACATCTACCACAGGATGGTAAAAAGCCAAAAGAAAACCAGCTGGCAGTGTTTGTCTGATCCACTGAGTATACATTTTACAACACCACTGATACAATTCTGACAGTGCCACACCAACACGCTGCAAAGAACAAACCAGAGTACAAAAGTCACTTTAACACTCACTCAAGTTGAAAATCAGCAAGCAGCTCTTTCTAGCCAGTTCCACTCCTGCCACCCCCTTCTCCCCGAAAAGACTCAATCTACCCATGCCGCCCCCACTCACCCCCCCATCCAAAAAAACCCACCTCTACACTGCCCCCTCAACTCCCTCCCCGCCATGGCCATGGCAAAACTCCCTATAAAGTCCTGTTCTCAACCTAGCCTATCCACCTAGCTTCCTACCAACCTATCTGTACAGCCCCACTGCGGTGTAGGTTGGCTTTTTCGGGGGGCAAGGGGTGGTGGCAGGAATAGATCTGGGTGGGAAGAGCTCCCTGGTGAGTTTAAGATCAAGTGTTGAAGTGACATAATATACTGGATTGCTACCTGCAGCTTGTTGGTGCTGCAAAACGAGAATTGTATCAATGATTCAGTAAAATGTATACTCATAGGAACAAACAAGCACTTCCAGCTTTTTGTTTGACCTTTGATCTTATATGGTAGCCTTACTGGTAACACCAGTGTCTTCTAGACCAAACGTCTGATGAGTGGTAGTTTTCCAAGAAAAATAAATTTAAAGTAAAATCAGTTTGAATAGCTAAATTTTGAGTTTTATTTTTGTAGTTTTAGTAAGAGTTGTACGGCACTTGCAACGCAATAAGGTCATATAAGTGTCGAAGATTAGAGGTGTTACAAGAAAGTAACAAACACAAAAAAGGAGGAGAGATAAGGACGATAGATGTTTGATTTTAAAAAAAGAAAAAGCAAACCACACCAGAGCAGCCGTCATCCAATTTTGAGTAATTAACACATTAATTTAGTACATTCATGTAATATTGGTCATTTTCTTCACGAAGAAAAGACAAACAGAACAAACAAAAGAGGGAAAGACGAAAAGCCCCATCCCACCAAATACTTGTTACTGATTGGTTGAGTAGACATGTTATGGTACCAAGAGGTTAATCTGTGCATGTATGGGCAAAAAATATGTGCAACAGATTTTTTCTTCTAGCATCAGCCCCTCTTAAGTTAAGAGGGGTTGAAAGGAGGGACAGACATTTATAAAAATTCATCAGTTAATTGTATACCTATAATATTTTATCTTTATCTTTCATGATTTATTTATATTAAAAAGCGGAAGGAGTTCCCCAGAGGGCCGGCCGACCAACAACACAAAAGAGGGGATATTTTAAGCGGGGCATACCCTAACCCTAAGCATTAACCCTTACTAAGCCTTGTATAGTTTGTTCAGTGTCCCTTGTCATGGTAAATGCCGGCCCTCTCCCTAAAAATCCCATTCTTTTTGGAGCTTCTAAAATATTACAAATGTGAATTTCTGAATTCAAACCAATCTATTAAAATGAGCCTAGAGATGTAGTAGTTTTTCAACAGTGGCATGTGAGACAAAAAACCTACTCGTTCTTCAAGGAGATATATTATGCTTTATATGCGTGTCCAATGTCTAATGAATAATTACGTTACCAGAATTCCTATACTGGTATGAAAATAAAAAATAACCATAATAAAGTACAACCTTCAAATGACACTTTCTGCGTTTGGATCATATGTCAATTACAAGTAAACTTTCAATTTATTGGTATGTTTTCAGGAACCATTAGACAGGACCAGGACAGTTTTTGAGAGGCAGAACCTAAATGTAAAAATGTTGACTCTTTCTAAATTTGCAGTCATATCTTAAACCTTCAAAGGCTATGGGACATATGTTTGGCGGGTAAGTAAAGTTGAATTTAAAGACAATTATGCAAGTCCACTTACCTATGGGTATCAAAAAAAGTACAAACAAGAATTTGATCAAATGCATTATGCATAGA